ATTTTTAGCTCCACACATGTGTTTGATGAAATTGTCATATGGCCTATATATGGGAAGCAAATATTTATTGTCAAAAATAGTCTGGTCTCTCTTGACTTGCGTTAGCTTCCTGCAGCTGGGCAGAATACATTTTCACATCGGATTAAAACATAATAAGAATGCATTTTTGCTAGACAGTTGTGATTCAAATATCATAAGATTGAAAAGAAGGTCATTGCTAGGTGTTCATCAATACCAATATTCTGATATATTTCCATAGAGCAGTTTAGATGAGTCAATTTTAACCAGAGATTAAAACTTTAAACTCAATTGTAATAAAATTATCCTTGATTTTGCTATTAAAGTGCATTTCTGGAAGTCAGAGTTAAGTTTGACTTTCCCTAGCTAGATTGTATTCATTTAAAGCACCTCTTAAGAGATATAAGCAAAACAGAAAATAAGTAAGTACTCTTTGAAAACTCATTACAGCCTATAGAGCAGGTATGAAAAATGGTAAAATACTGAATGGCTTGGACAATGGTAAATTCTGAATAGCTTGGGTAAAATCAGACTTATAGCACTTGGGTCTAGAAGTAGACAAAATGCTCCTATAATATGTCTATGAAAAACTTTCAGTGCTGATAAAAGACAGGTATTTCAGTAGAGCAAATCTACTATTTTATTCACCCTTTCTGCAGCACTGAAAACTTTCAACCTAAAGGCTATTATTCATGACCTTTTTCCTCACTAAAACCATGACTCTGTGATGTATTTATGGAGGGCACCAAATCTTTTAGTAGATTCCCTAATTTTTCCTTCTTTTTATATAACAGCATCCTCAGGTGAATCATTACTAAAATAATACTTTGAACAGTAATTCTTTGGAATTTGTACCTACACATTAATCATGATGGATTGGTTATGGGTATACGTATCACCATTTGTAAACATTTATTGAACGCCTACTGTGATATATTAGTTGAGGTTCACAGATTTTCTCAAATAAGCAGTTCAAGTTAATGAGGGTAAGTTATTCTTGTTCACGCTAGGGCTGTTGATATCTGTGGAAAAATAATGAAAGCTTGCATGTTCTGCACTTACGATGTGGCAGCTACTATTTGAGTACATATATTAAAATGTTTTATCTTTACAACAATCTGTGGTATAGGTGCTTTTATGGCCATTTTAGAGACAAAGATGAGTGCCAGATACACTAACTTGCCAGAGTCACACAGCTAGAACACGGCAGAGCTGGGTTCGATCCAGGCAATTGACCTCAGAATCTACACTCAAACCAACTCCACCATCCTGCATATCCTGGGGCCGATGCAAGAATTAAGTTTCTACTTTATGTAATTCAAATTCCTGCCAAATCAGAAAAGTTCTATAGTTTAGCTGAATTTTAAATATAAATATAAACAAGTCAGTCACTTGCATATGCCCTCAGTTCACAGAAACATCTTATAATGTTTTTGCTCCAAAAGAACGAGGATCTTTTAAAGCTATGTGGCGTTACTGTGTACATTAATTTCTAGTGTCCACATGACCCCGTGACCCATCAAGAGAGGAGGGGTAGGCCTAAATGTGTAGAGTTTAGAGCCCCACAGCAAGGGATCAGATCCCAGTTCTATCACTCATTAGATAACCTGGAGCAAGTAATGACATCTCTGGGACTTGGTCTTCTGATATTTAAAATGGGATGAAAACAGTATGCATCTCATAGGATTAAGTTAATCTATTGTGGTGGAAGTGTTTAGTTTAATACCTGCCATGTTCTGAGTACTCAGTCAATGTTAGTGGTGGTTATTGTCCGTGTTAGTATTCCTATAATGTACTCATACTTGCAGATGCTTCTGTTTTTATTTCTTTTAATTATGGTCAGGTGGGTAGAGGAAACTATATAGAAATTATCATCTGGTTTCCTGAATTGAGTTCTCATTATTTGGAAGAAAACCTTTTTATAGACAAATGGAATTGAGATTTAAGGTGATCTATCACCTGGTACGGCTTTGTGTATATAATATCATAGAACATTTGAGTTTTTATAGTTCTGCTCATAACATAGAATGTGTCATTAGGGTCTTAAGTTTCTTGGTGAATATTAGTTCTCTATTGGTATGGTATATATCACTATTATTTGCATTAGAATAATACTTAGTTAAAAGAATTATTATTGTCAACCTAAATTACCAAAGTCAGGAAACACAACCTTTCGTAATTTACTCTCTTTTTCATTATTTGATTACCAAGGATGGTTATTTTATTATATAAGTGTATCTTGGAATTGTCCTCTCCCTGAAATTTCTTCTGGCCTAGTTTAGTCAAAGATTCAGACACTCATGCATTGAAGCTAGGTGAGTATCGTAAATGAACTTGTAGGTAGTAATAGTGAGTGGTGGGATCTTGGCAAGCTGAAGGTGACCTCAATGGCGTACAGCCAGTCATCAGCTAAAAAGGATGTTTGAAAGTTGCCCACTGTGGGGATCAAAAAATATGTGTGGAAATAGAGATAGCCCATGGACTGCCAATTTGTAACCTTTATTATTTTCCATCTCATCACTTTTCTTCTGTATTGTAGCAGGGGCTTCCAACTTCAGCTGTATTTGTGTCCAATCCTTTGTCTATATACCAGGTGATTTTTTTTAAAACTCCAGTGATAATTGTGTTGCTCTCCTTTTTAAAACATCTTCTGCATCACCAGATCAAATACTGCCTAAGATGAAAAGCTCAGATTCTCTACCATGACACATAAGAGGCCCTTGTTGAATTGAGCCTCTTCTTACTTTGTCAGACTCAACATTCACCCCTCTCCTGCCTTCTTTATATGTAATGACTCAGAAATACTGAATCACATTCCTTTGTCCAAGTACATCATGGTATTGATGCCCCTATGTGTGTTCTCTCTAACTGCAATTTTCCCCTCACCTTGCCCAACTGGTGGACATCTTTCAAACCTTACTTGGGCCTTGGAATCTCTCTGAAGGCTCCCATCTCATGCATACTTGCTAGGCTCTGCTACAGATGATCATCAAAACAACTCTCCTTAAATGCCTTTATGTGTATCAAAGCAATTCACTCAAGTCCATATTCCATGTCTGCCCATTTCGTTAATAGCTCTGTCCTCCTTCAGTGAACAGAACTTCTCTGACTCTTTTGTTCCCCTGATGTCTAGCACAATGCCTGGGACATAGTGTTGCTCCGTCATCGTGTGTGGATCTGAATATTAACTCGTTGCCAACACACTTTCTGTATTCTGATATGAAGGTGGTAAGAAAGGAAAGATGAATGTTTTGTGGACATTCCTTCAATGGGCAAATAATTGAAAAAATCTTATCTCCAAAGCAATAAGTTTGTTTTTTGATCCCTTAAGTCATATAAAGGCTGTATGTTTTTAGTTTCACTTTATTCTAGGAGTTTCTAAGTTTGCATACTCAAACAGAAAGCAGTGTTTAGGAAAGAAGACCTCAGTTGTGGGCTGATTTCAGAAAACACTAATAAAAATGGTGTCACCCAACAGCTGACCAGGTGGACCATATCAGCCAGTATCTCCACTGGTTGTGTTTAATGGGCATTTATAGTATAGTGTTTGGCCCATGATGCTGTTTGAAGTAATCTTCTCTTTACACTACACTGGGTGTACATTTCATATTTTTTCTTTTTTTTTTTTTCCCCTGTGTGATTTATGTGTCTGTTTTCCACAGCTTTTGTTTTTATATCAGCAACCATTAATCCTTTAAAGTCCTGCAATTCTAATGTTAACTATCAACAGCTTAGATTTGCGATTGGCATGAGAGTATGATCTAACCATATTCTAGTGATTATGATTTTGTTTTTGAATGACAACATTTTTTACCTCTGAAATCCTCAAATACAGAATTCCTCTAACACTTCAATTAGAATACGTTCACTCTAATCTGGGCCTCTGTCTTTACTTCCTTGCTTTTTACATCAACCTTTAGTTAAGGCTAACGCTTAATGATTCTTAGTTTCTCTACTGGTAAAGTCAGTTGATATTTGTTGCTTCTATGAATTATGAATATATACATATGAATATATATATGAACATATATGGATATATGTGGATATATGCAAATGTTGGCAATCAGCAATACATTTTATTTTTAATTACCCTATATATTTAATGAAGAAAAAACATTAAAGGCTAATTTCAGGGTCATTATAAACAATGTAATTTCACTTGTGGGTTCTTACAATGACTACTAATGTCATTGAAGTCATTTAAAAAAATTACAGGCTTGGGGCGCCTGGGTGGCTCAGTGGGTTAAGCTGCTGCCTTCGGCTCAGGTCATGATCTCAGGGTCCTGGGATCGAGTCCCGCATCGGGCTCTCTGCTAGGCAGGGAGCCTGCTTCCCTCTCTCTCTCTCTCTCTGCCTGCCTCTCTGTCTACTTGTGATCTCTCTCTGTCAAATAAATAAATAAAATCTTTAAAAAAAAATTACAGGCTTGTGCCTTTAAGGTATAATTCATTTTTGCATAATTAACAATATAATTCTTCAGCCTGGATAGAATCTATGATGGTGATTTTGGCACCATTAAACCTTAGTATGAAATATTTTTAAAAAAATTATGAATGGGTCTTTATTTGGAGCAGGTGTGGTACAGGGAGGATGACATGAAGCAGGAGTTATTGAGAAAAAAACAACTAGAAATATGGGGGTCAGTCCAAGTGTGTGTTAGCTTATCTACTGAGACACGTGTATGCCTCACTAGTGCAAGTGTTTGCAAAAGAGTATAAGAACTCTGAGGGGAAAAAATGACCTAACATTTAGCTCATGTACAGGTAATTCATTCTTTATAGGACTTTAGGGGAAAAGGGCCAAAAGTTATTTGTGGTTTGCTTTTTATCCCAGGTTTTTCCTAACTTTTAAAATATTTCAGGATTCTGGCTTTGCTTAAAGAAATCAAGCACTTGCAACTGAAGGCTAAGAAACTGCTTTTTAGACAAACAGAAAAGCCTAGGCATTGACTGACTATCTTTCTGGAACTTGGTGTTTTTCAGGGAATGATGTACTTGGAAGAAAGACGGCTTGTTCATCGGGATTTGGCAGCCCGAAATGTCTTAGTGAAATCTCCAAACCATGTGAAAATCACAGATTTTGGACTAGCCAGACTCTTAGAAGGAGATGAAAAAGAATATAATGCTGATGGAGGAAAGGTGGGTGTTTTTTAGAGCACTGTTGCTTGAAAATACGATATTTTATCTTCTTACATAATAGAGGAAGAGGCCACTAAATCTGAGTTTATGAAAGTGTAAAATCTTAATTCCACCATTTGCCTTCTCTCCCATCCAGGGTCAAATATATTATATACACCAATATCAATTTCCCAAAAGTAGCCAAAATAAGGCAGTTCATCTCTAGTGGTCCTTATGTCACGTCCAGTATTGGGAAGTGGGTGGATCCTTAAGTGAACTGGAAATTACACTTTAATCCAGGACCATAGAAATTGTTTCACTGATCCTAAGAACACAGGACTGACCACTACAGAAAGACATAACTGTTCTTTCATCAATTAGGGAGAAGCCTGGCTACTACCAAGAACCATAACTCACGGGATACCAAGAACCATAACTCATGGGAACTTTCATTCATCCTGTTTAGTTTCTAATCCTCTTACACCAGATAAAACATATTTCTCTTTTCTGCCTCTATTTTTTTAAGCTTTACTATAGTATGTGATTGACTAATTTGCTTTATTTAACCTGATGCTCTCCACCAAAATGTAGGCTACTATATCCCGGGGATCTTAACAGTACCGTTGCCTCTTCTACTTTTCTGACTGTCCAGCCTCTGGCCTTGCCTGACAACTGTGCTCCTGCCATATGGTCTCAGCCCAGGCCTTAGTTGCAGCTCTTGTTTTTCATCATCAACCCACTGTTGAGATCGCCATTCTTGGCTAAACTGTGAGGATATCTCCTCTCCATCTGGAGGTCCCTCTAGCTTAATGTAGGAAAACTTAGATCAGGAAAGGCCAAATGAAATAAGCAAATGCATCCTTAACCTATGGTGATGTGTAAACACATGCTAACAAACAAAAAAAAAGTGATTGATATGTCATTTAAATATGCTTATCATGTGCTTTATTTATCACGAGCCACCCAAATATAGATTATAAATATTTTGCAATGATAGGCTTCCAAATACTTAACATTGATTTTTGAATGTCATGTAGTATATGATTTTTATATTACTTTATATGATCTATTATATAACTATATATGTATTCAAATCCTATCACAAAAGAAAAATTAAAAAATAACTTTCATTTTATAGTATTTCCCAATCTTTCCGTGATTTTATTAGGCTGTTCTGCCAGTTTACTACCAAATTGCAGCAGTTTGAGACCACAGCTTTGAAATTCACTGTAAGATTGCACAGTAGAAGTCTATAAATCACATGACTTCACTTGTCTTAAGAAAATACAGCTGTAGGATTTGTCTAAAGCAAGATTCATTATAGCTTTAAATGCCTGGTAACCATTAAGTCTTTATCAAGCCACCTGTGATTTAAATGTACTTCTTTAACACAACGTCCGTAGTCCATAAAGTCGGCTAACTCCTTGCCCATAGGGAAATCACTTTCAGTGTGTCTTCTGTTCCTTTTCACTGAATACCGTGATTCTGTCATACAGTTGCCTTGGTGTCACCTTGGTGAGCAGCAAACCTCATGATTTCAAAGGCCTGTTAGTTTTAAGCTTTCAACTGCAAAGTAGAAATGTTTATCTTTATTCCATAGAATCTAATTATATTTCCAGCTATATAATGCTACCCTTCCTAGTTGAAACTTAACTCTGCTGACCCCTTATCAGCAGGGTATGTGAGTTGAGTTGTTTTTCTTGTAGTGATGATAGATTGGTACTGATCCTCTCACATTCTTTTATATAATTCCTGGTCTGAAAATAGTACATGTTTTCAATACTGGTTAACCAAGACAAGGGAGATCATCTGTGGCTGCGGAACAAAGCAAGCCTAACTTTGGAATTCATTATTTTAGGTGTTTCAAGTGACCAAATTATATGAAAGGAGAAAGTGGGGGCAAGTATAGAAAAATGACCATCTTACTGGTAGCCAGAAATTTTCTGAGGGTAAAAAAGAATAAGTGAAAGTGTAAGGAATCTCATTTTGGGGGGAAAATGTAGTAGATCATATTTTTAGAAGCATATGTCTTAAATGTTTGGAATCGATATTGTGAGTCATAATATTAACCAGTAACTGAATTAATTGCTGAACATTAATTAAGAACTATAGAAGGTGATACTACTTTATTTTTCATTGTTTATGAAGCTTTTAAAAATAAATATATCTTTAGGTTAATTCACTTTATGAATTTTATAAATTTTAATTCATTGTTCTCTGTACTGAAAAAAATGTTTATTATTATTATATCTGTATTTTCTATACATACAAAAAATACACAATCAAAAAATACAATTGAGGCAAGCCCAGAGATTCATATTTTGGGAAATGAATGTAACAATGACTTTTTAAATAACTATAAGACTTTCACTTTTTATTTCTCTTTTTCTTTTTCAGATGCCAATTAAATGGATGGCTCTGGAGTGTATACACTACAGAAAATTTACCCATCAGAGTGATGTTTGGAGCTACGGTAAATAAATCTTTCTTGTGAATTACGGGATTTAGGGCAAAAATAAATATATTAGGCTCATGTAAAATATTTAAGCTAATTTATTTTATTTTGTTGGAAATACCTACTTATAAGCCTTGTTTCCTAAAGGAATTGACTCTTTGCTCTTCCACATAAAAACAAAACAAAACAAAAAAACCCTTTAAACTGTATCATTTATCTGCTTTTTTTCTGTTTTTTTCTCAGTTCTCTAAAGTGTAATATATTAAAATCTCAGTTGTCTACCATAACCTTTGGTTTGGTAGCAATTTTTCTGATCATTTTGACAGAAAAAAAAAAGAAAATAACCAATTTTAGTTTAGGAACAATATCATAGAGCATCATAGCCTTGATTTTTCAAAAAACTCTTTGAAAACATATATTAAAAATAAAAGAATGTCTTTTCTATAATAAGAAAGAGGTTATTGTTGTAACAAAGAACAATTACTAAAAGCAATAAGGTGAGAGCAAACGTGAGGGGAGAAATAGGAGAGAAGATTGCTAATTGCAGTTTTTATTTTAATTTACAAACTACTTTGGAATAAACAGATATATTAGAGAATAAATAATATGAACCCGGAAAGAGTGATTTTAAACTTAGAGCATTCATTTAATCTCATTTAACTCAATTGTTGAGGTGAGATAATTAGATCTATCTGGCTATTTACAACTGAAGTCCATCTGGGTAGTAGTAAGAATGAATCAACACCCTTTCTAAGTTTAAATATGTTGCAAAGAACCAGTATTTCTTACCAATTGAAAGCATGATGCCCTTTAAGCAAAAGGTGGTGGAATGACTTGAAAGTATGTTACAATTAAGTTTACTCAAATTTAAGTCTAGCTTTATCTTTGTTCTTTATTTTTAGAAAAAAGACTTAATCATTTAATCACTAAAGAACTTATACCTCTTATCTAGAGAAGCACAAATTATCTTTAAAAAAAAAGTTAAGACATTTCCGTAAAGTGTTTTTTCCCTCCATGCACGTATGCTGTTTAAAATTTCCACAAAGGTTCTGTGTATTCCACGCACATATTGCATGGAGCACTGGGTGTAGTACATAAACAATGAATTTTGGAACACTGAAAAAACAAAAAAATTTTTAAAATAAGCTTTGAAGTAGAAAGTGTGCTGTGCTTGAGATTTAGACAAGTATAGGGAAACTATTGAAAAATTTAAGTTGTTGAACTGTGAAGACTACACAGAACACAAATCTAGTATATATATTACATGAAACAAATTAGATTTTATATTTTAATATTTGACATTTATATTTTAATATGTGACATATATATCACTTTTCTTTTTCTTTTTTTTCTATGAATGTTTCCCTCAATTAAATGTGGCAATCTGCTGCCAGCAATTTTAAACAACCTCTAAAATAAGTACATAGATAGATAGATAGATTAGTACTCTGCTTTGAAACATAGCCCAGGTCATCAACTCATATCCATAAGGCATTTTAAGATTTTTATGATATATCATAGTTGATTGCAAAAGGCATATAAGTCAGAGAGTAAAAATAATGCTAACACTGCACCTTTGTGGAAAATTGCCACCAGATGTGTATTTGTTTTTATAAAATTAATATAAAAATTAATTTTATAAAAATAAATATGCATTGGATATGGTTTATGTTCAAATGATAAGATTGCAAGTTTTGAGGATGTTTCTGATTCAGTTTTCCTGGGACTGTTCTTCTATATCCATCTCTGTTTAACCCTATCTTGTGGTCACTCCTGCAAAGATATAATTGGATTATTATTGGCAGAGGTGGGGATTTTGATGTTCCTTCTTTTGTTTTTATATTTATTATAGTTTATATTCTCTTTATTATAGTTTCCATTATTTTGATTTGTAATTGCTTTGCAATTTTTTATATTAGAAGTTCTTTTTTTTAGAAGTTCTGATAGAGAGGTGAAGACATCTGTTCTTTTATAACTGCATACGTAAGTTAACAAAATGCCCTCATTAAATACATATTCTATAAATACGTATTTATATTGACTGGATGAATAGAAATGGACAGCCATCCTCTTCTTAACTTGTTCCGCCTGCCTCTTGGACACTCAATCTTAATTACTGGTTCTACAGAGCCATTCTTCAATATGCAAAATTAAGTAAGATTTAATCAAGATCAAACAGTTAAATTGTGTTACTAGTTACATTTTTATATTGTACCTAAGAATCATAAGATGAAAATATTAGCAAGAAAAATCAAGTAACTGTTAATGATATTATGATAAAGGATAATTTGAAGTTCACATGTACTTTTATATCTTAAGCTTTATATTTTTATTATCAGCCAGTAATAACTGTTATAAGCTAAAAAAGACCTCAGTTTGAATAAATAATTCATTCCAGTAGGAAAGAAAGCATAGTCCTAATTAAAACATACGTTGTGTATTATATGAACCCATCAAAATTCACTAGGTAAGAATCTTATGCACAGACTGCTATGTATGAACTTAAAATCCTTATCCTTAAGAAATGATAACTTTTTAATTGTATATTTATGAGATCATAAAGAGACCTATAGCGTATATACTATTGTTCAAACCAGAATCATTATTATTATCAGAATTAGCTATTTGCAGGCTGGTGTTTAGGGTATTTGGTTTTACAGAGGGAATCACTGTTCTAGTGATTCAAGAAAGTGATTTCTTATCTAAGGAATCGACTATTATTGATTCCCTTCAATTTTGTGATACCTCTTTCACAGGTATTATATTTGGATCCCTCAGGCTCTCTCAGGTGTTAAAGATAGGAATGTGTTTCATTCCATCTGTTCTCTTTGTGTGAGTCAAAGAGAGCCACAATGATTTACCATAACATAAGGTAATCATTCTGGCAGCCCAGCTTAGCCTATAGGACTTGAAATCACAAAAATGGTAATCTCAAAATTAGTCAGCATCAGATTTTATCTGCAATCATAATTACTTGATACTGAGCACACATGTATATAATAAATTGTTTGATAGGCTCTATTGCTGTGTAGTGAAAATTAACTTGGACCAGCAAACATTAATATTACCTAAAAGTAGAAATGGGGAATAGACCCTGTATTCTGACATTCGCTCGGAATTGTCTCTGCTACTCATTAAAAAATTTCAAGACAATCGTAAGATAATTGAATTTCCTACAAAGATTTTGTCACTGAGCTTCTCCTAATGGATACAGAAATCTGAAGAGCCTTTCTTTAGACTACTTTTTTTAAAGACTTATTTATGTACTTTAGATTGGTGGTGGTGGTGGGGTCAGGGTGGGGTAGGTGAAGAGAGTCTTAAGCAGACCAGGCGCTGAGCGTAGAGTCTGAGGTGGGGCTTGATCTCATGATCCTGAAATGACCACCTGAGCCAAAACCAAGAGTCTGGATGCTTAACCAGCTGTGCCACCCAGGCACCCCTCTTTAGACTATTTTTTTCCCTCCAGGGAGTTTTCTTTTGTCACTGGCATTCTGCTGGTTTCTTCAAATTATGTTGTTAATATGCTTATGTAAATATTTGATGTCTAATTTAGGAGTCACTATATGGGAACTGATGACCTTTGGAGGAAAACCGTATGATGGAATTCCAACCCGAGAAATCCCAGATTTATTAGAGAAAGGAGAACGTTTGCCCCAGCCTCCGATCTGCACTATTGATGTTTACATGGTCATGGTCAAATGTAAGATTGCAAAATAATTTTATCACCACCATCATCACGCTTATTAAAATAATAGTGTGGATTAATCTACCTGCCTAATGTTTTTATATATTGAAAACTGTGAAAGCTCAAAAGTAATTACGAAAAATCATGTAAACACCTGTGTTTTTGGCTTGTTGTTAGTAGGAAGCAATATGCATCAGTATGCATGCTTCCACGTTATAAAGTTGCAATTATATGACTCTTACTCTTCTGATTCATTTCACTTTGATTCTTATCATTTCCATGACAATCAAATTGTCTTTCACAAAGAGATGTAATTAGTCACAATAATGTTAGTAATCTTTATAGGAAAATAGCGGTTTAAACAAATGATCTAAATATAAAGAAAGAAAGCTTGAAACTGATAGTTTAAAAAGATGAATTACATGGAAATAGGTTTACCAGTTTTAGTCAACAGGAAATTAGCAGGGTAGAATGGGAAGTGAGAAGACATGAATTTCTGCAGTGAAATAAAAAGATTACGAATGTTTGCTTTTTTAAAAAAATTTGATCATTTGTTTACATCAAATGCTCTTACTTTTCTTTCTTCTTTCTATGCCCCAGACATATATGTATTATAAATGTGTTTTGGCAGCCTAGGCTCTTAATTTAAATAGAATTAGGGAAGTCTCTGGAGTTTCCTACTTAATTTAAGTGAGATTAACATTCAGCAATCTTTCTTGTGTAATCTGGGGTTTTCCCCTTTTGATTTACACAGGGTTAGCAAAGAAACAAACTGGTGAAGGTGAATAAGCATCTTATTAATACGAGACTTTGGACCTAGGTCTACTCAGATTTATATTCATGACATGTGTGACACATTCTGTCAGTGAGGGAAGAAATAAAAATGTGCTTTCCAGTTCAGGTCAGCTTGCCCTTTTCTCTAAGCATAGTTCTATTTACTCAATATTTAGTTAGAAAGAAACTGATACCTCCCAGCGAAGTTAACCTTTTTTGATTCCAGTAGTTCCAGAAACACCTATTTCCTCATTAGCATCTCGGTATCAACAGCATTTTTTTTTTCCTAAGTGGATGCAAATAGTTGAGCTTTGTTAAGAGAGAAAAAAATTCAGCTGATATTAATGATACATGAAATGACACCCAAAGACTTCCCAGAACAAGAATAAAAATTGAACTCCCGGAAAAAGGAAATAAACCTTATAGCTTTATTGGAACAAACATCATTCAGTAGTCATCTATGGAAGGAATTTTAAAGAACATGCATGCATTATATGATTTGATCTCATAACTAGCATCAGAAGTGATTTACATACTTCATTTAGCTGCTCTGATGAAACAATGAAAAATCAGGAAAATATTTTGCCTAATAGGGAGTTTTACCTTGCTTTTATGAGTTTTAATACCTAGGAAGAGGGTCATTTGGCAAGAAAATAAGGAAAAGCTTGGTGCTTTTATTCTTGTGATCTCATCAGCTAAACAGAGCCTGGGGAGATAAGACCCACTTTATCTAGACTCCCAGCTAAATAATAATACATACCTTGAAAATTGCTGATAGTATTTTTATGCTGCAAAGGCTAGTACTTAGATAAGCTAATGGCTATTGCTGAACAAACATTACCAATCATTTTGCACTGGTTTTTTCCCCACCAGGAAAAGAGTAGCATGAGAAAGTTGCTTTCATTTCCCTTCTCCCCCTCTGTGCTGGTGTACTGCATTGTAACCAAAGCTCCATGTCACTCCTGACATAAAATAATAAATTATATCCCAATCACCTCTTCTATTACCATCAAAAAAAAGTTAAAAAGAAAAAAAAGGCATTCTCTCCATACTTAAGGAAATAAAAAAGAAATCAGAGCTTCTGTAAGTTCCCATAGTTAGCTTAGGTTATGATTCCTAAGAAGAAAAATTAATTTTAAATTAGATCAATAAAATAAAAATTTCTGTTATTCTTTTTTATTTTTAAAGATTTTATTTATTTATTTGAGAGACAGAGATCACAAGTAGGCAGAGAGGAAGGCAGAGCGGGAGGGGGGCGCGGGGCGGGGGGAGGGGGAAGCAGGCTCCCTGCTGAGCGGAGAGCCCGATGCGGGGTCGGATCCCAGGACCCTGGGATCTGTGCAGCGTTGGTGGTATAGTGGTGAGCATAGCTGCCTTCCAGGACCCTGGGATCATGACCTGAGCCGAAAGGCAGGGGCTTTAACCCACTGAGCCATCAAGGCGCCCTTAAAAATTTCTGTTATTCTATCATATATTTCATTTATTTCTGAATATCAACAAACTGATTGAGATAGAAGCTCACCTATTGGATTGTTTCTTTCTTTAGCTTTCTTTGTGGGTTGTTTTTTTTTTTTTAGATCATTATTATTAAAACAACATTTTTCAAACCTAGCCTATGTTTTCATAAAATTAACATCCTACTTCTTCATAATTATGGATAGAGTGACTTTTGTGTTGTGTGTGAATTTCTAGGTTGGATGATTGATGCTGACAGTAGACCTAAATTTAAGGAACTGGCTGCTGAATTTTCAAGGATGGCTCGAGACCCTCAAAGATACCTAGTTATTCAGGTTGGTACAGATCTGGTCTTTAGAACTGTGGAAGTCACTGCTCATAAGTCGATTAAGAAGAATATCATGTGAAATGACTTATGGACAAGAACCTTCCACTTGATGTCACAACTACTTCTAAGAATCTTCCCTTAGTATTCAAGGGAAGAAGTATTCAAGGGCCCCCAGTACCAAACAGGCAGATAATTATGATTATCCATATACATAAAAAGTCCTTATCCCCAGACAAGTCTTCGAGCACTCTGCTTTTTATTAACATGCATTAAATCATTTTCATTATTATAATCTTTCCTTTTCAGAATAAAAGAAAGATGGATTTTTGTTTTAATCTTTTCCATGGTTGAAGACAGCGAATTAAAAGTTTCAATATATTGACATTTAATTTCCTAAAAAGTATTTATTAATGTGTCTTGTTTGGGAAGATATACAGTATCCAAGCAATAACTCAGATTCAAGTGAATTGATGTACATATGAATCAAATGATAGCCCCAAAGAATATTTTATATTAAACAGTAGAAAAAATGGATTAGATAATTTAAAAATTGTAGTATATTTATCTATGATTATTTTTACCTAAATCATAACCAAATAGACCCTGAGTTACTTTTTCCTCAGGAATTAATTTTCCTCAGGAAAACAAGGTAGCATTTATCCTCCTATCAATAGTCTGACATGAAGATAAAAGCCAGGTTTTAGAATAGTTTCTAGTTATCTTTTTCCCAAATTAATTTGCACAAACAACTTGTTTGCAAAAATATCCATAATTTTGAAAAATGAAAAAATCATATTTAAGAAATAGTTGAAGGAAAAAAAAGAGTAGGATTTGGGTGTCTCTCCCACCTTCATTTATATGATTTGCCCCTTGTGCTGTGATTTTGAAAGCTAGCACATTAACAGTGTTATGTTATAGGACAAATCATGGAGCCTGTGTGTCCTGAGAACACTACAATGTCAAATCAACTCAATAAAGTAAAGTAAAGGTTGATAAGTCAATTACCCTTTATTATTTATTCTTAAAGTCACAGCTCAAACATCCTGGCAATGAAGCCTACCGTTATTCTCAGATCTGAAATAGATGATGCCTCCCTCAAAACAGCCAGAGCGTCCTGCTCTACTCATATCTGATGGCATTTATCACAATCTGTTAAATGTATTTATCCTACCCTGTCACATCTAAGTGTGTTACAGGCTTCTTCATGACTGGTACTTGTGCTAAAGAATTATGTTTTTAAACGAGTGCATGGATTTTTAACCACTTGTGTTGATATTCCATAAATTTGCTGCAAAGTCCGCATGTTTCAGAAGAAAGGAAGAATTATCTTTTCTTTGTCTGGTGGGCAAACTTTTAGGGTGATGATCGCATGAAGCTTCCCAGTCCAAACGACAGCAAGTTCTTTCAGAATCTCTTGGATGAAGAGGATTTGGAAGACATGATGGATGCTGAGGAGTACCTGGTCCCTCAGGCTTTCAACATCCCACCTCCCATCTACACTTCCAGAGCAAGAATTGACTCAAATAGGGTAAGAAATAATCATCTACCACCTCCCATATTGTTTCTGAGAAATGAAATCATGCAGGGGCCCCTGGGTGGCTCAGTCGTTAAGTGTCTGCCTTTGGCTCAGGTCATGATCCCTGGGTCCTGGAATCAAGTCCTGCATTAGGCCCCCTGCTCATCAAGGAACCTGTTTCTCCCTTTCCCACACCCCCTGCTTGGGTTCCCTCTCTCTGTCAAATAAATAAATACAATCTTAAAAAATAAATAAATAAATAAATAAATAAATAATAAAAAATAAAATCATGCAAATATATTTTAAGCCCTAGAATTACAAAATAATTATGCAGCTCATTTCAACAGGATTGCTAGATTAAAAACATACTCTATCAATGAAAGGCCATGTATAGTTAATTTTGCAACACAAGCATGGGTAATATGATAAGTACTCTGAAATATCTTTAGGATTTCAAGATGAGAAATGTTTTCTTTATCTTATGTTTGTTAAACCTTAGTGTTTAAAAATCTACCAATTCAATTAACAAAAAATCAACCCATTCAAACTAATAAAACTGTGTGTTTATAAATAAATGAAAATTCTTAACGAGGTAGGCTCTCTTAAAAAAATGGTATGACCATAGTCAAGAGGTGATACAAGTACAACTCTCTTTCACTTAAGAGACTAAATATTCTCTGTCAATTTGAAGTATAAACAGAAAACTTCAATACTTCGGACTTTAACAGTTATTTTGGGAAGACTGCCGAATCATTTCTAAGAGGTAGATTGAAACTTCAAAGGAAACTTTTGAAAAGAATTTGCATTTAATATTAAATATTTAGCCCACTCTATATGAATACCATTCTTTTTCTGAAAATTGTCAATCCATATGTTCAGTTATTTTTAAAAATTCACTCATTATTCACTCAACAAGTATTGAGTATGTCTGTATGCGAGACATTATCAGTTACTTGAGGTTCAAAGAATTTTGACAAAACTCCACCTTCAAGAAGTGTTCAGGCTCCTGCATTTAAGAACATTATCACAGCCAGTGAAACAAACTATTCATCTTGCCCATAAGCATGAGAAAACTTTCCACCTGCTGCTTATTTTCCAAAATGAAGTTGTTTGCCTTGTTTCAGATTCACAGCAATAATAAAGTAACACTCACCTGGTGCTTACTCTGAACGAACACATGTATACTAAGTCTCCGAATCCTTACAACAATTTCTTTGGGTTCTATTATCATCCTTTCCATCTGACAAATGAAGAAAACTTGTCACAGTTAAGGTATTTGACTGGTGTCATACAGTTCGCCAGTGGAATGGTAGGATTCTAATGCAGGCAGTCTGTCTCTACTGCACATACTATTGCTTCAAAGTTATTGGAACATGTTATCTTCATGATACAATGTTTTTCTTGACATCTACCTCACTGTTTGAGGTACCTGTTGCTTGGAAAATCCTCCAGGTAATTTTCTTATGAAATGCATTCCCCAACCTACTCCATACTTTTGTTCATTTGCCCCATTCAGAATGGCTGATGTAGAAAGAGGTAAAAAGCAAAACAAAAGAAAACACCTCAGTTTTTCTTTCCTATGAAAAATATGTCATCCCATCCCAATGGGGAGAAGACAACTAAAAGGTTTAAATATTAAATCAATTGATAGTCATTGAACATCAGTACTGTTTATAGGAAGGAACAAAGTCTTTCAGGTATATAAAGGAATAAGTTTTTTTCCCCATTTTATGCTTAGCAAAGTGGTCAACTTGTAACTCTGGTATTTAAAAGTTTATGTGACATATTAATTACTTTTATTAAAACAGAGACATTTCAGGGGCACCTGGGTGGCTCAGTTGGTTAAATGTCTGCCTTCAGCTCAGGTTACCATCCCAGGATCAAGTCCCACATTGGGCTCTTTGCTTAGCAGGGAGCCTGCTTCTCCCCCTGCTTTTTTATGGGCTCTCTCTCTCTCTCACTCTCACAAATAAAAAACAAACAAACAAACAAAAAGAGAGAGACATCTCAGAAAGTAGTTTTCTTTCCTTAATATGAAATGCTAAAAAGGCCAACAGCTTGAATCTTTTGCTTTTATAAGGCTTCTCAGATTCCAACTCTGTTCATTTTAATTTAGGCTCAATGCAAGGAATTCTTAATAAAGGTTTGAATTAACTAAATGAAATTAGTGAGACAAAGTACAAGCCACCTGAGAAATTATTTGGCCTTTAGTCATCATTTCTTATTCCACATTATTATTTAAACAATGTTATCCGTAGATATCTTTTTAGTTTTTCAGGTCTTTGTTAAGGGAATTGTTCTTAAATACCATTTTATTTTCAGGCATTAAAAGGCCTTATTAATCACCTGTATTTTCCTGTTCTTTAAAAAAAATCTAGTTTTATGTAGCTTCTATGGTAATTTCTAATTTGTGCAAATGCTGTTTTCCCTGTATAAAACTAAGTTATATTATTTTATAGTTAGAAAATAAATTATTTCAACTTTAGGTTCTGTGCCATCCTATGTGGTAAGGGAATATCTTAGAGTGAATTTTAATCAAATGTTTCTTGAGCATATCTGTTGAACCTTGAAACCAAAAATTTCAGTTTTTGAATATAGACTATTTTGCTAACTAACTGATTAGTTTTAGGTAATGCTCTTAAATGTCTTCCCAACTTCTCTCTTCATTTGTAAAATAAATACAATAAATAGTCAACTTCTGTGATTCTTAACTAATTATCTTTTAAAAAGCTCCAGGCAACTACTTTTTCTTTTCTAGAATCACTCAAAGTTCATTTTTAGTTATTTCCTTGTCAATATCGTAAATAACTATGTTTTCTTATAAAGTTTTCTTTCTTTCTTTCTTTTTTTAAGATTTTATTTATTTATTTGAGATAGACTGCACAAGCCCGTGTGTGAGCACTAGTGGGGGCAGGGCAGTGGGAGAGGGAGAAGCCGGTTCTTCACTGAGCAGGGAGCCGGACCTGGGGCTTGATCCCAGATGCAGAGGTCTGGACCTGAGCTAAAGCAGATGCCATCCAGGTGCCCCTCTTATAAGGTTTACTACACATTATCTATTAAAAAAAAAAAAAAACCACACACACACACACAAACAAACAAAAAAAAAACTGTTCCTTCAGTCACTACTTGACAAGGAAATTATTTCTGCTGATGTACTTTTATAGAAAATGAGATATGGAACTCATTTCTCCTATGGTGCTTTTGGTTATTTCAAATTCTGTATGTATTTTGATTCATTATAACTTTAAAGCAATGAGTCAATTAAAAATACAATGTTGACATTTATCCAGCAAATTGATAGATACAAATGCAAGTAATGCTAAAAAAAAAAGAACCAACTAATTTATAGTTGTTGTGTTATTATTGTTGTTATTGTTAGTGCCTTTTAATTGTATCTTAAATACCTTTATCACAATAATATACCAAAAACTATTACACTAGCATGACGTGAATGGGAAAGCTTGAGAAAATGTCGAATTTCTACAAACTTTAGTTCTGCACATCTGTGAAATGGGATAAAAAAATAGTCTCAAAATATTGTGAAGATTAACTTTTTAGGATATCAAAATGTGTTCCCCATTGATGGATATGTAGTAGATACTCAGTAGTGTGCAAATAAATGAAGACCCACTAAAAGAGAAAGGTGAAGGCTCTTTATTCAGAGCTTGCTATATAGCAAGGGAGTTAGCCACTGCCACTTGTAATGTGCAAAGACTTAAAGGCAGGCAAAACAGTGGGAAAGCTTTATAGTGGAGAAAAGGGAAGGCTTTAAGTATGCCTTGGTTCCAGGCTTTTGGTGTGGGGAAGCTGTAAGGGGGGTAATTAGAAGTGAGGCATTCAATGTGATTAGTTTGAGGTGGCTATTTGTCAGTCCCTGATTTCTCCTAAATTGAAAGTGGTGACAATTTAGTGAAACTGTTAGTTATCAAGTCTTGACTGCTTTGCTTCAGTTATTATAGATGTTATTGTTTAGCTTCCTGGATTGCTGCTGGAGGTAACAATCTGACTTCCTGCAAGTCTGACGTAGAGCAGGTTGGCTTCCTAGGCTGTTTATTGTAGATATGATTTCCTAGTCAAGTTGCCGTAAGCTGGGAGTTAGACTTCTACTTTTATGTATGATCTGGCCTCTGTCCATTTGTGTATTCAGTTTGTAATAGGTTTTAGGTTCCATTGCTGCCTTCTTTCTCTCTTGATATATTTATTTAAGTACATAATGGCTGATACTTTCAATTAAATGCCTGCAATGGTTTTGAATTTCTTTTTTTTTTTAAAGATTTTATTTATTTATTTGACAGAGAGAGATCACAAGTAGACAGAGAGGCAGGCAGAGAGAGAGAGAGAGGGAAGCAGGCTCCCTGCTGAGCAGAGAGCCCGATGCAGGGCTTGATTCCAGGACCCTGAGATCATGACCTGAGCCGAAGGCAGCGGCTTAACCCACTGAGCCACCCAGGCGCCCATGGTTTTGAATTTCTATGTAGATATTTTTCTGTTAAAATTTTTTGTCTCTTTTTTTTTTAATTACCCAGATTTGTATTTCTCTGGCATAGTGAGTTGTACACCAAATGCAGCAGCAATTAAGAAAAATAGCTAATAGTTTGATGTGGCTAAAGATACTTTAGCTTTAATGATATCGGAAATTTTTATTTAATTTAAAAGCTTCAGTGCATTTTTGTAGACAAGGCTTCAGTTGTTGCAGGATCATTCAGTCATTGGTGATGAATAGTTTTAGAGATGCAGTGTTCTATGTCTTTCAAAACATATCAGCTAATTCTTAGTTATCCAGACCAGGTGAAGACAAAGGAATTATATCTGCTGCCCATTGGTGTAGCAGGCAACCCACAATGGATCTCTCCTTGCAATTTAAACCTTTCTCCACTTCTTTCACATCCTCTAAGAAATAAATATATTAACAGATCCGTTTTTTTTCCTTCTTTATTGTCCTTTCTTTCCTAGAATAGGTTAAATAAATGAGTTGCAAAATAGGAAATGTAGGCAGAATAAATAAAGGATGA